GTAAATTTAATTTTATGGCTCATCATATACTATGTATTTCTTTCTTCCTTTGTTTAATAGGGATAAAGTTGAATTTTTTTTCATTTTAAGATAATTTTGTTAGTTAACTAGCATTCGTTGATTCCTAGGACATAGTTAAAAACATCTTATTATAGAAACTAGAAAGAATATAATTCATTCATGTGGTCAAAAGAAAAAAAATTCCAATTATTTGGAGCCCACCAGTGTCCTTCTTATCCACCTACTTCTCTGAGGGGTAAATGAAATAGTGCCATCACTAGGATAGACATTATAGCTATTAATCAAAGCACAACTCTATTTCCTTGAACCTTAAGCTCACACCAATCATCAGTGTCATAAGTTGGAATGTTAAGTCCATTGAATTATAGGAGAGACTTTGACCAAACCTCAACAAGGGGCAACTTCTCCTTTGAGAAAGACACAATGAAACTCATCTAGGTTGTAGGCACCAACTAGGTATGGGCCCTATCAGTTGTGGAAGCCTTCATGATGGACAAACTACCCGTGATGAAAGAAAAAGAAAGGGAGTGACTAGAAAAATTGGGTGGCAATATTATTAATTGTTTGGTAGGTAGAAAAGTGTTTTCTAGAAAGGAAAAGAAAAATGTATGTATATGCATTTTCCTTTTTCTATATACTGAAAAAACAATTAGGTCCTATTTGGTTATTAGAATAGAACGAAATGTAATTGATTGAAAAAATTAATATAAAAATGAACTAAATCACCCTTGTTATTGATATGTTATGCTATGGTCTAGAGTGTAATAACCCAAATTTTTTCTAAATTAACGTAAATTAATTTTTTCCTAATTGATATTTTATTTAGATTAGTTTTACAGCAAGTGGATAGTGGTAGTTTAGAGGAACTTATCTACTATTTTTTGAAGGTCCATACTTTGAATTTTACTGAAAAGTATGGTTTTATTTTTATTCAAATTATGAAAAAAATTTGTGCCTTTTCTTGTAATTTTTCCTTGGAGCATTTCTTGTAGTTTTCCCAATTATCCTTGTTGCTTCAGAATTTATATGTGTAGCGCAAAACAGAGCATCAGTCCAGCTTATTTCTTTCCTTCCCCTCACCAATATGAGCACTCTGGTTCTCCACTGCCATTGCACTCCTCCCCTATTCTTCGCATCTAAGGTGGCCATAGTGCTTGCTCTGTTATGCAACACCAGGTTCTCCATCATCCTTCCCATCTTTTGATTATTTTTCATACTGCTACTCTATTCTGCTGTTCACGATCTAGTCGCTTGTAATGTGTGAAGAAATTAGTCTCTAGATCTGGTGACTTTGGTTGTGAGCTCTTTTTTTTTATTGCTTGGTCTAGTGCTGTTAATTTTGTTTGCTTCCTTTCTTGTGCATCGAGTTATTTTTCCCTCGTCTAGCTGTAATCTTGTCTTCTTCTCTCCTATTCTGTGGCAGTCACTTGGTCTTTCTTCTCTATTGTTATTGATTTAGATGAGTAGCTTTAAATTTTTCTTCTTGCTATTCTGTGCGTGTGTTTGCTGAGATGAATTAAGGTTGAGTTTTATTTTTCCTTCCCTGTACTGTCGTGTATATCAAGTTTGAAAGGACCTTGATTGAAGCTGAAACTATAGAGAACAAGGGGATGATGGTTTAGCTCTGATCTTTATTTTAATTTGATATAATTATCAATGCTAAAAAAAAGTAGACAAGTGGTTAAGATTAAAAAGCTTCATTGAATGATTAGGAATTGATGCCCATTAGGTGTTTGTTGAAAGGTCTAAGAGAGGATCTTATTTCTATTAAATAATTTAGCTTTGGGTCAAGTAATCTGAGAAAACTTTGTGATGTAATTGAGGATGTTAAAAAAAAACTTTAAATCATTTGGATCGACCAAGTTGTGGCAAGGTTAGAAGGAAATTTAATAAAATTTTATTATTTATTATGAAGATATTGGAAGAGAATTGGAATTATGGTTTAAATAATAGTACTTGTAAGATGTTTGTTAAAACACATATTATAAAGAGTTTTGTTTGATTATGATTTCTTTTAAAAATTTCATTAGTTCTTGTGGGGACATACTCAGTTTAGGTATTAATTATTCATGAATTTAACTTGAATTATATCAAGAATTTTGATTATGATTGGTGAGACAAACTACATTCTATGAAATTGTATGGATGATAATTATAAATGATAATGTTTAAAGATTTGATTGTGAATACCTTTGAATTGCTTTAAAAACAGGGGTGATATGAGAACTTGAAATTTAGAGTGATTAATTATAGTCTGTGTATATATAACATTTATTATGTTTTGTTGCTTACACTTGACAAGAGTTGAAAAGAGTTTATCAAACTTGAATATGCCATTGAATTTTATTTTTACATTAGATAGGGCATTTAGATGAAAGAAGGTTTGACTAGGTTCTAAGAAGTGAATTTTAGTACTCGAGAATATTTCAGGTAAGTGAATAACGTCCCAATTTCTTTACCATAAATTATTTTTTGAAGTATTATATTCATGTAAATCATTTCAACAACAGCTAAGTTAAGTATTGAATATTTTGTCATTTAAATTCTTATATTGGGAAATTATAAAGAGGTGTTGAAAGATAATTGAGTTATGGTATGCGTATGTGTTTTCGTTTTCTTACGATAAATAATTTCAAAACTTAATGAACTTATTTTTATCAACTCCGGTTATTTAGAATTATACAATAAATGTCAAACATGGACTTCAGTTATGAAATTTTATCCTGGCAAGTTTTAATGCTCAAATTATTCATACGAGTTTGACTTTGAGAATGAAAACTGTATTTTATAACGATAATTTTCTCGCATATTTGAAAATGGATTGATAGAGATTTTATACAGGACACTGGTTGCTAACGGCAGTTTTGTTAGGCCTTTGTGCTCCTTGGTTAATAACTAGCTAGTTTGAATTTCATGAGCTCTATTCTCACATTTGTTGTTCGTGAGTCTCGTACTCACATTTGTTTTGTGGCTTCGAGCCGCATTTGGTTACTTACCCTTGTGGACTGTGTGTCCAAGTTTGTTTCTTGGCTTCAAGCTGCATTTGGTTAGCATTACCCTTATGAACTGTGTGTCCACATTTATTTTGTGGTTTCGACTATATTTGATTACTTACTCTTGTGGACTGTGTGCCCATATTCGATTTTGTGGCATAAGCCACGTTTGGTAATTTACCCTCGTGGACTGTGTGTCCATGTTTGTTACTTTTTCTGATAAATTCCCATAATTATGAGATTTTAATTATTTGATTAATCTTTTTTTTAGTTTTGATTAATGACATATTATTATTTTTTATGAAATTATTTGCTTTATTAAAAATAAATGATAATGACATTTGATCTTATGCTTTAATGAATCAGGATTTTATTTAACGTTATATAGAATCCAATTATGCCCAATTTTATTAAATATTTTGGTTGCAAAAATTGTCATCTTTAGCATTTATAATTATTCTATATTTTTCTTTTACACAAATTTAATTATTTGTTGTTGGGCTGCTATTCACTAAAAATTTATTTTGATCTTAGATTAATTAGCTAATACTGATCTCATTACTGACCTCTAAAGGGTATACAACTGTTTTGGGTAAAATTTTGCTTAGCATTATCTCCTTTGGAATAAATATTTGATTTCATATTTTATTTTAGAAGTAAGGTTAGATGCTCCACATAGCCTATAGATAGGTATCTATTTTGATATATGTTGTCTGCTAACCAAAAATAGCTGAGTTCTTAATTGATATTATAATTTATGTAAAATATTGTGTTGTAGAATTTTTAGGAGATCCTATTTATAGGGAAGGTTCTGTCGAAATTTCTATAAAAATATTAAATAATTTATTATGATGATTTTTTTCAATACATTATAATTTCTACTAAAAGGAAAATATTTTCTTCAATTTAAGTCTTTCGAGAATGCACGATGTAGTTCACACCCATGCCGGTCACCCTCTATTTTTGGAGCATGACATAGAGGGAGTGTATATACTCTAAGTGTAGAAAGCATGTCTGAAGGAGTGGCCTTCTATATTGTCACAATTCTAAAGCTATCCTCACTACTGATGTCATTGAAGACTTAAACAAGTTGTAATTCAAAATTTGGATTTCAATGCACGTTCTGGTCTATTTGAAATGACCCTATTAATTAATTCCATAAGATTAAGAAAATTAGTTCCCATTAGTTTAATGTAATTTTTCTTTTTACAATTTTTCAAAATCACCCTTTAATTGATATATTATAGCTCATTAGGGAAGGAAGAAAGGATGGAAAAACTATCAATTAAGCTAAGAGTTAAAGAGACAAGGACATTTTTTTTCTGACAAAAAATTTAGGTGAGCTTGGTCCTAAAAGTTTACCAAGACTAAAGTGTCACACCCCAAAAATCAAGTGTGACCGGCACGGGATATGGGCTCAAAACTCACATCCTATAAGCCGTGATCAGAAAAACTCTAAAATTAATACGTTAAACACACTAATAGAGTAATTAAAATTATTACAATATTAAATCAGATATTCAATTTTAAAAAAATGTGAGGATCCTACCTATAGTCTACGTAAAGCACCTAAGGCCAGACGCCAACGTAGGTATAAAGTTCAAATTTTTATCAAATTAAGATTTAACTAAAATAATTCTTCTGCTTCAATTCAGCAATAAAACTCCTCAGTGGATATCTCGAGTCACGAGTTCAACTATACCATCTGAGACCAAAATATCCTTTCCAGTGAATAACATCCTAACAATACATAATTGAACATGAATAAAAGGAAAACTTGAAATAATTATGCAATTCAAAGAGGCAACAATTTTCATAAAAAATTTAATAAACTTCAAAAATAAAATAATTTTATAAAGTTTAAATAAAATCTTGAACTATTAAAATATCATATCAAATATTATTATCACTTGATTACAAGAAAGTAAATAAATAAAATAAATAATTATAAATAATTCACTAATTAAAAACCAATGGAATGTAAAATCATCAAATAATCAAATTTATATTATAGAAACTTATCAGAATAATTAACAAACGTGGACACAAAATCCATGAGAATAAATAACCGAACGCGGCTTATGACACGAATACAAACATGGACACACAATCCACGAGCGTAAGTAACCAAGCATAGCTGAAACCATGAAACAAATGTGGACACATGGTCTATGAGGGTAAGTAACCAAACGCAGTCGAAGCCATGAAACAAACGTGAGTACGATGCTCACGAATAACCATCCCTCCATTCCACGTGCATTGGTCATCGCATGGGGCTAGCACCTCCTATAAACACTCTGCTAGAGGGCTTAACAAAACTGCTATTAGCGACCAGTGTTCTATATAAAGTCCCTTTTCAAAACCATTTTCAAACATGCAAGAAAATCATCACTTTTAAGATATAGTTCTCATTCTCAAAATCAAACTCACATGAATACTTTTAAGCATTAAAACTTTCCAGAATCAAATTTCATATCCAATGCTCATGCTTGCATTTATTAAATAAAAAAAATTTCAACGTCGAACTCACATGAATCATTCTCTGTATCAATCCAATATTTGATAAAATAAAAATCTCCTAATCAAAGTCCAACCTGACTTAATTGATCAAATAACATTTAAATTTGGTAAAGCTAATTTTTCAAAATAAAGAAATGTTAATAAACAAATATTCAATAATCGCATTAATGCTATTAAAATGATTTCCAAAAAAATGTAATATTTTAGTAAAGAAAATTTTGATTGAAAAAAAAAATTTAATTGAGACGCTATCCACTTAGTAATAGTATTCTCAAGATTCGTAATTCACTTCTTACAACTCCAATAAACTCTTCCTTCCTCTAAATACACTACCCAATATAAAAGGAAGGTTTAGTGGTCTTATTCTAGTTAAATGAATTATCTTTCAATATTGACAACACCATAATCAGTCAGACTTTCTCATAATTAAATCAACTAGCTCTCAAATTCTTCAATCCTTTCAATATTTTATATACCCACATCTACCCAACCATAGGACTCTCAAGAATCTAACTAATTACACACTAGCAACCTTATTAACAAATTTCTTATAAAAATCAAATTATATTCAGACTTAAATAGTATCCAAACTAAATAGTTACATAATCCAATTTCTTCACGATGGCAAGCTTAATACACAAATAGTAGCACCCGAGCTAATTATATATATATATTTTAGGATATTTAATGCGATTTTAAAAAATACATAACTAAACAAAACTCTTCCTACAGGTATTAATACTCATTTATAATACTAATTTTCTCTCTCTTAAATTTCCTTTTCAAAAATTCTCCAATTTAATTATTAGAATCATTCAGCTTCTTGAGTTCTATTCCTAAAATAAAATCAATCTCTATCTCCAAGAAAAACTAATTCAAGCTTGAAGAAAATCAACTCATTTTCCTCTTATAGTAATCAGAGTTTTCAAATCAAATCACATATTAATGATGTGCTCTTCAAAACATGAGTATTTAGCCTAACTGAATCCTCACCTCTTTACATTCACGAACAACAACGGAACTAAGAAGAAAAATTTTAGAAATTTCATACTACTAATACCCACACACATACACAAGTCCTCCAAGGTAGAGGAAATAAAATGGAACAATATGCACCCTAAGAGCATAGGAGAAATGAAGGGAAAGAAGTCAAAACTCCCTCTACTGCACTAGTACAGTACGACACAACATCAAGGAAGAGAAAGGTCTGTAACGCACCTTGGCAAGAATAGAGAAGAAGGAGAGGTTTGAATGTCTCAAAGCATGACCAGGGGGAAGGGCCCAATGCACGAACAAGGGAGAACAGGGGAGGAGGATGAAGAATCTTGTCATACTCACGAGCACAGCAACGATGCAAAGGTAGGGTGGAGGATAGATCGACTATAATGCAGGAACAGGGAGGAAGAGATTGTGACTTTTTCTAAGTTCCTTGCTGTAGCCGATGGACGTCTCTCGGAAACACACATAAAGTGACGATGAGGAAAGGAGCTTGGTACACTAAACCATATCAGCTTAGACAGGAGATCATAGTTTCTGATGGAAAGAATCAAAAAGGAAGAAGAACAAACTGTGGCACACACATAAACAGCGAACAAAGATGACCAGGGGAGAAAACTCACAGTGGAACTTCACACTAGTGAGGGAAACAGAGCCATCACACCTGTCGATGACAGCGAGATGACTGGCAGACGGACAGCAACCAACACAGACGCACGTGCAGGGGTCGAATTGAACAAAGGCAGAGCAAGAAAGAGGAATAGCTCTCAACAATGGCAACGAACGGCGCACTCTAACACACCCACACCGACGATGCTGAAGATTGAAGGGAAAGGGTGGAGAATGTCGGTGGGATTCAAGAAGAGCTGAGGGTGAAGGTTCACAAATCTTTGATCTGTCATACTCTCTTAGCTCATGTAAAACATGAAATCAGACGGGAGAGAAACAAATAAATCTATTTCTAGAAGGTTCAACGAAGTTCAAATGGCGGTAAGGACACGTGCTCTGTTTTCCTAATTGAAGAACTTTTGGGAAAATTTTCAATAAAGAGCATAAAAAAATCACAAAAAAGGACACAAAATTTTTTATAATTTAAAACTATTTTTTTTTGCTTAAAAAAATTTGAACTTTGGATCCTCAATAAAATTTCTTGCTTAAATTCCTATAAGCTGTCAATTTTTTTTTACTTGCTATAAAATTTATTTAAATAAAATATTTATTGAAGAAAATTTTGTTTAATTTAAAATTTAGGATCATTACATAAAGCATGCTTCTAGGCTCAAATAGTGCTTATAAAAATGCTTACTGATTGCTCACCTTGTAGGGTTTGGGCATCCATCAAGAAGGACATTTTTCAAAATGAGTTATAAATGTTTTATTAAATTTTGTAAAGGTTATTGTTTTAAGAATCAATGGATATGATATTGTAAATAGGACCAAAAGGAATAAGTAATTCTAATTAAGGGTAAATGACAAGTAAGTGTCTGAAAAGAAAATTAATATCAAATTAGGATCTTTTCACAATTAAAGTTTATAAGTTCAGTACTATTTCTTCTATGTTCTAGTATTAAAATATTTAAAAATATTGATTTGAGATCAATCTTCTTATAGGTTGTAACACTTGCCCTGAGTGTTATTCAAAAATCACACAATTCAAATAAACTAAGTGTGGTTAAGGAGTTAATTCTAAAACCAACATAGGAAACAAACCATTTAAATCACTAAGTAAATACACGATTGCAAAATAAACATTTAAAACCTTTTTAAAATAAATAATTTATAGGTTTTACCTATAGTGTACGGAAGCAAGCTAGGCGAAAGCGGGAAAAAAGATGCTGTCATGATAGTATTAAATTACTATCACGACAGCCCTCCAGGGTCAACTTTTCGGAGGCGCCGTTCTGCCATCCAATCCCCGATCGAAATAATTTTAAAGCTCACACGTCACATTCAAAGGGTACTATAAGTGTACCAAATTTTAAAAAGATCCAACAGTCAGATTAAAAATTAGATATGTTAAGAGTTTAGTCATTTTTGCTATCATGAAAGTTGTCATGACAGCACCTCCAGACTAACTTCGAAGTGCACCATTTCATCATCCGACCTCTAATTGGAGTGATTCCAAAGCCCACATGTCACTTTAAATAGTACTATTAGCATACCAAATTTTGGAAAGATCCAATGGATGTATTGAATTTCGTACATGTTACAACATCATCACTGTTGCTGTGATGACAGCACTTTTGCTGTCATGACAGCTCCTCCAGATCAAATTCCAGAGTGCGCCATTTTTCTATCCCATATCCAATCTATATGATTCCAAATTCCACATGAAGCTTATAAAAGGTTTTACTTGTGACCCAAATTTTAGAGAAATCCAACGGTCGGATTAAGATTTGGACACTCGAATGCAAAAGTGCAGTTTTTTGGTAAACACCATTTTCAAAATTGTCCAAATCTCATCTTAATGGTCACAAACCTGTGGGAACATCTTGGACACGTCAAATAGGACTAAAAACACCTGATAGAATATTTAAATGATAGAAAAACCCTTTATACCATAATTTGACCACCCGGGTGCCATTTCCCAAAATGGACCCTAAACCTCCAAAATGCATAAATCACACAAGAGTAGCTAAAAACTATTCCAAATATCATATATACATATGAATACACACACTAAACATTTTCACTTGGCTCAAAGATCTTTGTGGGGCCCACGCACCCACTCCCTCTGTCCAAGGTATATGTTTGCCCATAACACACCATTTGCCCATACCAAAATAAATATTTGCTTGTAGTGAAAACTTAGTCTACTAAATAAATCTATCAAAACCACACACCATAACCAAGTTTCCTGGCCACAAGTCTACAAGCAAATAAAAATTTATACACAAGCCATACAATTCACACATACTCACACACACTCACACACATATACATAATCACATCTTACTGGCACCCTAATTCTAAATACATTACAATAGATTTTCTCTAAAGAAAGGGGTTGCAGTTCTTTACAAATCATAAGCAAACCCCTAACTTAGCTCTTTTCCTCATCCACTAATGGATCCTTTGTCTGGAGCTGTAAATATTGTAAAGAAAGGGGTGAGACAACCACAGTCTCAGTAACAGAAAAATTGATATTCCTTATTATAAGGAAAGCTATGGTCAAGTAAATAAATAATAGATTCAAAAAATATATAATTAACTAATTAAAATGCTTAAATGCATGACATAGGCTGATATAGCTTTTCCTGACCAATAGAATGCCCCCTGACACTCTTTAACTTGTAAGTGAACCTTGTACCCATCGTACTCCACAGGCACAATATATAAACTAAGGCATGATTTAATCCAACGAACTGCCTGTGCCCCTTTGACGTGAATCCTGAGCAGTCAAATCTAATTCCCTCCCAGACCCAGCCCGACTTACTCTCTATATGAGGGCTACCTTGGCCTAGGCACTCAACCTCACCCTTCATATGCCAGATTTCTCTCCCATTGAGAGGTGTCAAACACTCAATCCATTAACCACTTTGGTGTACTGAGCCCACAATACGAAAGGCAACACTGAGTACTGACAATGAGTCATAGAATATCACAAGACCACATCTCCCCATTAGTGAACTCCCACCGAGATCATGCCTCCTACCCTTTTTCTACCTTTCCTGAATATTGACCACTCCAACACTCAAGGTAGTATAACACTCATAATTCATCTCTTAAGGGGTTCCTTAGCCTATTTAAGATACCAAACCTAGTTGCACTTCCCTAAGTACAAGTCTTAATTTTTTTATGATCACAATGCATGCTAATAATCTTATTTCCATAAATAACATCATCACTAAATAGATAGTAAACATAGATGCATTATTATTAAAGCAATACCCCATAATCCCTTTTAAAACACATTTTATTTGCATTCAATTATTTTAAACATGTAATACATGCTAGATAATATTATCTACTCAAAAATAGCTAAACAAAGCAATAAGAAATATAAATTTCCCTGTTACCTCAACACTTTGATACCAAAAGAGTTCCCTCTTGTATAAAATAAGACTTGGCTTGTTCCTTAACTTCTCAATAAGTTTTACCAACAATTCCTACAACATATAAGTAATCCATATCACTTATCATGACAAATAGCATTAATGAAGACTATAGCTATGCCACACAACTTAGGTCAATGAGTCATAATCTATCCTAATGGTCCATATATTAAACCAACCATTACATAATATCACTTAACCACCAAAATTATTTATTAGCCATCACTAGGCTAATTTTCAATTTATATAATTTTTAATCAATTAAAAAACCTTTTACTTAGTGTCACCAACTTTCACTGTTAGCCCTTATAATGAAAACTACTACTACAAAATAAGCTTACAGGAACGCTTTTTTTTATCTTAGGGAGCGCTTTAAAAGCGCTCCCGTATCGAGAGCTCTGAAATATATAGGAGCGCTTAAAAAAAGCGCTCCCGTAAGAAAGCTCCGGACCGTTATGTATGGGAGCGCTCTCTATAGGAGCGCTTCTGTATGATGCATACAGGAGCGCTCTCTACAAGAGTGCTCCTGTATGATGCTTACTAGAGCGCTCCTTTAAGAGAGCGCTCCTGAATGAGGCATACGGGAGCGCTCTTAAAAAGAGCGCCCCGTATGCTGACAACTTACCGGAGCGCTCTCTTAAGGAGCGCTCTGGTAAGTTACTTTACAGGAGCGCTCTTTAAATGAGCGCTCCCGTATATTATATTTAATTTTTTAAATCAAATTTTTTAAATTTCTCCTTTTACATATCTTTAACAATGGCAAATTATAATATCAAAAACTAATTTAAAAATAATATCAACATAAAAATTTATATACAAGAAAAGAATTTGAAACTGATACAACAATTTCAATTTTCTAACTAACCTAGTTTAATTTCTAACAAGCCTAACAAATGAAACTATTGTTATTTTTTAACATTGAAATCTAACTTCCTATCACAAACAGCTAATAATATATTCTGACCATTCTTCAACTAAATCTTCTATTTGCTCCATAGTAAAATGCGAATATCTTGCTCCAACAAAATACTACACAAGATATAAAAGCAATATATAAGTAATTAACATTATATTAACTTAATTTCAAAACTTTTGACTTACATTTTCAGGAATGATCAACTCTTGTTGTGTGATTACTTCTCTCATAAACTTCATAACATAGTATCCACACTCCCAACCTTGTAATTGTGTAGGTACCTATAAAACAATAAAAGATGTTATTATCAAAATATGGTAGAAATAAATTCTAACTTAATTTAAAATACTTTAGTGATGAAGTTATATAAATGATACAAGTATTTGCTGTTGAAAATCCGGCAGAGTCTCTCCTATAACTTGAAAGTTCCAGAATTTTCCAAAAATTCTACATCAATCCAGAATAACATATTCAGAATAAAAAATATAAAATATCAATCAAACAATCATTTAGATATGTACCAACTTTTTTTTATTAAGAAAATAATACAAACCTTTATTCTTTTTCATGAATAAAACTCAACAAGATCAGGTTTTTTGGTGTTTGGAGGGAGACCTTCACCTCCTCGATAACGTGCTACAGCCCTATTATATAATGATTAAGCATATCAAGTAAAAAATTAATTGTTATAATAAACATATATAAAGAATATAGAACTAAAAACTTACTGATTAAATAATATTCTCATAGATTTGTAGTTCTTAAAGTCACTATCTCTTAATGAATCAAGATAATAAATCACAGGAACGAATGGATTGATACAAACAAGCACCCAATGTTGCATGAAAAAATAAAATATTTCATTAACTAAAATATCAACTAAAGTTAAAAATAAACAATAATAACAATTTACCCTGGATTGTGAGGAGCTAAAAATAACATGTTTCTTTTGCCTTTGGCTTTGAATGCATCAGTAATAGTTTGAGAATGGTACTCAACACTGTAGGTACTAGTGTTGTGCAGGATAATAAATGAAAATTTTATTATCAATGAGCCCGGCACCATAAAAGTATGATATAAGTACCTAAAATGAAAACAAATAGAATCATTCATAACTAAAATTAAAT